CCACATTGTGGCATAGTTACAGGGGCCATCTCCAAAAGCTCTGTTCTGTTGTCATGCTCAGACAGGCTAGACCACAAGAGCATCCCAGTTCAACTTGAGTGGGGCTTGGGTAATCAAAGCTTCTAGCCACCTTGTGGCATGGCTACAGAAGCCATCTTTCTAAATTCTGGCTTGGCTGCAGGCACCAGGTATAATCTGATAAGCTTTGCACTGTCTGACCAAGCAGACAGTTTAGAAACTAGTAAACTTGTGAATCTATACTTGACTAGTGGTAGAAATGAAACAATGAGCCTATATTTTAGTCGTTGAAGGATGTCTTCATGCTACACTACTATAGTGGTATATATATGCTACACCTAACAGACAAGTTGCCAATAGTAGACACATTATTCATAAGATTCACATAACAAATGAGGAAATTATACCTGCCGAGCATATATGCTACGGCCCACATAACCCTAGTAATAAACTCAAATGACATAGCTGCACTGAGTGTACTAAATATCTAATTCTATTTGAGTCAAATAAAGATGTACTGTCAAATACAAAGTATTGTAAGTATATTATCAAAAGAATAAGAATCAAATTCTAACAAAGAATTTTACAAAATATTATGAAAACAAAGCAAATAGCATGGAATACAAAGCTAAAAAGAAAGAGTATATTCAAGCTAGATACAAATTCTTGCAATTTCCACCAAAGCCTCCAATAAATCATCTGATTACTGAGATCATCAATGGTTTCTATAAGCAAACATCATTTGTAAACCTTGAAGAATATGGTTGTGATGTATGTGGTGCTTTAAAGTTAGTCAAAGAGCTGACTTTAAGACATTGATCAAGGCTTGCTATCCTGCTTACAAGTCCCTGAAATAACTTGTTGTGAGAGACACTTTGCAAAGCAACTAGTTGTAGATATATTTGGTCCTCTGCTTGATAAGAGCTATAAGCATATATGCTCAAAATGCCATGACAGCTTGCAAGAACAAAGAATTCCTCACTTAGCCTTAGCTAATGGTCTGTGGATTGGTCAAGTTCCACCACAACTACAAGACATATCATGGACTGAGCAGCTGCTCATAGCTAAGGTAATCAGAAACTATTGTGTTGTAAGAGTATCCAAGTCAAAAATGCATAAAATGCGAGCAAATGCTGTATGCCATGCTATATCTATGCTCAAATTCTTTCAGTCTTATCACCAAAGCGTGAGGAACTTTATGATGTATTGGCATTTTTATACATTGGTCTAACTAAGCCTACACCTGAGGATTACAAGCGTACACCATTTTTAATCAGGCATAACCATATGTTAGCTGCATTGGAGTGGCTCAAGCGTAAGTACTGTGATTACATGTCTCTAAAGACAATATGGCAGAGTATCCAAAAGATATTCCACCTGTCAATGATAATGAGGAAGAGGATGGAACAAGTGAAGGAAACTGCCCGTTTACTATCCATACCTTGACTTCTGACCAGCTTATTGACTTGCTCAACAGAGATGAGCGTGGGAATATCAGGAATAAGGCTTTGAAACACTTCAAACAAGGTGGAAAGGCATTAGCTATTGCTCACGAGAAAGATCCAGAGAGCTTATTTGATAATCCTCAGCTATATCCACAGATGTTCCCTTGGCTCTTTCCATATGGTCTAGGTGGCCTTGGCAATAACAGAAGTCAGCAAGCTGTGTCTGAAATGTTGCATAAGCACCCACTTATGTACCATGACAAGAGATTTCAGATGGATCCTAACTTTCCCTTGATTGCCTTCAATCATGAGCAGATTAAGAAGGCTACTACTGGAGGTTATTTGCTAGCTAACAAGAACAACTTTGACCATATCTCTACTTGTCTACTCAACACCAAGGACTCTGTGCTTACAGAAATGATTGAGAAGCTTGAGAAAGGCCTTGTAAAGGTTGATGACTTGACACCAGAGCAACAAGAGTGTTACAAGATGATCAATGACATAGATTACATAGGAGCACATGTACCTGCGTCCAGGACAAGCCACAAGCACGTGAGAAACCAGATCTGGTCCTTGACATCATATCTTGGTGCTCCAAGTTGGTTTATCACATATGCCCCTGCAGATATTAAGCATCCAATTGCCATCTATCTTGCAGACACCAATGAGAGGATTTTCCCTGCCAGGCTATTGCAACCCAACGGTTACACGGTCAGTACGCAGGAGCTTGGTGGCACACAATGGCATCAGCTCTTTCTTCATATAAACACTTGACTGCTTCTTTTGGACTCATTTCAGACCCTGCTTGTACTTGGTGTACTCGCCCTTATATACTGTTTCCCCTTTGTTCCTTTTCTCCAGTTCTCCCTCACGGAACGAAGGTACTTCACTCCATTATTTATTCTGTTATTTCTATGTACTTACAGTTCTCCCTCACGGAATGAAGAAATATAATTTGTTCCCATTCTTACCATTTGAACTGAGTGTTCTCAGCCATTCGCGCAGTTGGGTTCCACTATCAGAGAATGAACGCTGTAGGCTTATCGCAAATAATCCTGTAGCTAGAGCTCGATTTTTCAAGGTCATGACTGAAGCTTTCATTAAACATGTACTTGGTTATAACAGTAAACATGCAGGATTGTGTGGCAAGACAGCTGGATATTATGGAACTGTTAAACAGCAAGGTAGATTGACTCTACATATGCACATGCTTATATGGATCAAGCACTCTTTAACTCCTCAAGAAATTAGAGATAAAAGGATGGATTCAGAGTCAGAGTTCCAGAAGAGAATGGTGGAATACTTGGAAAGTGTGCATATAGGCGAATTTATTGGCAAGACTATGACAGAGGTAGCCAATAATCTTGAGATGGAGAGAAGCAAACAACCCTTCCAGACAGGATCCCACAACTACCTTGCCTAAGTCTATACCTTCTCCATGTGGTAGTGATTGCCAACACTTGTGTATAGCCTGCAATTCAAGCATGTTATAGTGAGAACAGTTCACCAAGACAGTAAATGAGCTGCTCTTCTTGACCAATATGCACTCCTGTAACAAAGGCTGTAAGAACAACAAGTATGGTACCTGCAAAAGCAGATTTCCTCGTCCAATCCTACTAGAAACTCAGGTAGATCCAAAGACAGGTGCCCTGAGCTTGAAGAAAGGAGAGGTCATGCTCAACACCTTCTTGCCTGTGCTTACATATCTTATGAGATGCAACACTGATGTCACAAGCTTACTATCTGGTACAGCTATCAAGTCTGTTGTAGCTTATGTCACAGATTATATTACCAAGTCACCATTGAAGACACACACCATGTTTGAAGCTGTGAAGAGGATATTTGCCAGAGAGTCAGAGATGTTAGCTGGAGAGGATAGTAGAGCTGTCAAGGCCAGAAAGGTACTCACAAAGGTTGTAAACTCCCTAACTTCACAAAGTGAAATTTGTAGCCCCATAGCATATACAGTGACGACCTAAAGTATTGCAACAGACTACAGAGGGGTGTTAAGATTCCTCAATATCTCCGTGAATATTACAGATGGCTGGACACATTGTATATGGTTTTCAAACTGGACAACTAGCTGTATTTTCTCAAGGTATCGCCTTGTAGCAGAAGGTGTATGCTGGAAGAGTATATCAAAAATAGCTGAAAATATGCATATTTATCATATAATTTGTAGTAGAATACAGACTGTAGAATAAAATTGACTCTGCACATATTAAAATGGAGCTAGTTGTATAGTATGTGTACAAATATAATGATGTGATTATGCCTCCATTTGAATGAACTGTAGGACATATCACATTGGCTTGTTTCTCTTATAGCAGTTTGCACATATCTAACTCCACAATGTGGAGAGGAAAGTTTCCCAAAATCTGTTTACACCATGTACTCTATCACATGATTATATTTGTACACATACTATACAACTAGCTCCATTTGAATATGTGCAGAGTCAATTTTATTGTACAGTCTGTATTATAGTACAAATTATATACTCTTCCAGCATACACTTTCTGCTACAAGGCGATACCTTGGGAAAATACAGCTAGTTGTCCAGTTTAAAAATCATATACAATGTGTTCAGCCATCTATAATATTCACGGAGATATTGAGGAATCTTAACATCCCTCTGTAGTCTGTTGCAATACTTTAGGTCGTCACTGTATCTGCATCTGTGCAGGCTCCATAACGCATATTTTCCAAGCATTTTCTTAGCTTCCCATCATTTGCTGTCTGGCTTTCTGTCTCATATTCTGCTTCAGAATAACCACTGTAGTGAACTGGTGCCACAGAGCCTTGCCAATAATTGCCTTCTGGCTGTGTACAGAGTTTGCCTCTCACCTCCTCTGGACTGCAGACACAGGGGCCACTTCTCATATGACGCCCCATAAACACTGGCTTCACAACTACACCCCAATGAGAGTTGCTGTTCGTCTTGCAAACGATCACATTGTCTACTCTGAGGGTGTAGGGTCAGTAGTGTTCGCTCCAGAGGTTAAAGGGAAGCTGGTGCGCGAGCTGGAGTTCAGTAGAGTGCTGCATGTACCAGAGCTCAGCTCCAACCTCTTCTCTGTCCTGTATCTCGTTCGTCATCGCAGTTTCAATGTTCACATCTGTTCTGATCGCATGGACTTTGACCGCAATGGCGAGACACTGTTGTGCGCCTCTATCAACGCCTCTAACACCACCTACCTCAATCAAACAGTCATCCCTGCTATGGATTCTGCTCAAGTCGCCAACTCGTCCACTCTATCATCACTCGATGAGTTGCTCTGGCACCGTCGATTCGCTCATGCGCACCTTCAGAGTATTCGAGATCTATCCAAAGGCGACCTAGTCACTGGGATAAGCTCGACTCGAAGCAGGAGGCCGATCCTCTTCCTGTTCGCACCCAGTCTAGTAACCGCTATTGGATCACCTTCATTGACGACTCGACGCATCTGAGGGCTGTTATCCTGCCCAAGACCAAGGCTGAAGCGACCTCCGCTTTCAAGCAGTTCAAATCCCATGCTGAGAACCAGACTGGAGAGCGCATCGGTGCACTTCAAGATGACAAAGGTGGCGAGTACATGAGTAAGGAGCTTGAGAAGTTCTGCCACGAGCGCGGCATCGAAAGACAGCACATTGTGCGCAATCGGCCGCAGCAGAACAGTGAAGCTGAGTGGTTTAATCGCGTCCTTGCAGAGAGAATCATTGCTATGCTCTCTGAGGCTGGTTTACCGCCGTCGTTCTGGGGAGAGGCCTTGTCTTCGCTGATGCACGTTTTCAACCGCTGCCCCACCACCGTGCTGCCTGGCAAAACACTCTATGAGGCCTTCTATGGCCGGAAACCAGATGTGTCACACTTGCGCATCTGGGGCTGCATGGCATATGTGCATGTGCAGAAGGATAAACGCGGCGCATTGGGCTCTCACACAGAGAAGTGCGTGTTTATTGGCTATCCACCTGGCTACAAGGGTTGGAAGTTCTACAATCCGTCCACTAAGAGAGCTATCATCTCCGAACGCGCTGTTTTTGACGAACAATATCTCCCTGGCCTCAGGAACTGGTCAGATGCCCATTCTTTCCGCGCCCACCCGCCCTTGACGCCTTCTCCGTCAGCTTCTACCCATGAGGTCGAGTTCTACTAGCCTTCTGGTCCGTCTTCCGGCTCTGTGGATCCTCCTCAGCCTCGTGTTCGGGGGGAGATGCATGGTGGTGCTCAACACGAGCCTGCTGAGCGTCCAGCCGCTGCAGACAATCATCAAGTCCATCCTCATGCTCCACCAGCAAATTCGCCTTCTGTCTCCTTCTCTCCATCGCCCCAGCCACCTCCTGCTCGTTCTCAGCAGCAGCCCAGGTCTTCTGGATCTCACATCGAGTCCCCTGAACCATCACTGGCAGAGCGTCATCCCAGGCGCAATGCCAGGCCTCCTGGCGAGTGGTGGAAGGTCCAGCCTTCTGCTCCGCCTCAGCCTGTGCAGGATCCCATCTCTGACAAAGAGAATGCGGATGAGGACAATGAT